TGAACCGCGTCGGAGGCAGGAGAAGCTCTGAGGAAAAGAGCACGTCCATCGCCCGCCTACTCTCAGCAAGTCGGGGGCCAACCTTGAACTCTAAGGCGGTGCGACCGAGACCAGAGCAGGGGACACCTAAACGGTGACTCGCTAGACTGTCTAAGGGATGTCTGCTGCACTGGAGGGTCATCGGATCCGGCCACGGTGGACGGTGGCTCGGCCGGGGGAGGGGACGCTCCCCCAGGAAAGCGGGAGGAGCAGCTGACGGAATACACAGGGAGGATCCCCGGAGACTTCGGGACTGGCTGGTAGAGCCGAGGGCCCAGCTGCGGTCCCTGACGCTGTGGCAACAGGTGGAGAAACATGTCTGTCACTCCTTTGTGCATAGCTTTGTCCCCCGGTTTGGCTCGGGATCGTGAGTAACCGCGCGAGCATCACGTTCCACGGGGCGACGTGCACCCCAGCACGAGGCCCATCTCACATGGCACAGCAAACGTGACAAACGGTGTAGGGCTCCATCAGCCAGACTTGACCAGAACTAGGATGGACCTACATGAGATGTCACCATGCCGTATCAATAGAAGTAAGGATGGGTGCAAGGTGACGTCTCAAGATTTGTTTCCAGCCTACGGAACGAGATTCATGTAACTACAAGTGTTAAGAATCGAAAAACCGTAGCATTTCTGTCGGCGCATAGCCATGGACACCTTTGGGATGCCTCAGGAAGTAGGAGGAATGTAACTTAGTCACACATACACACTCACACACACTCTCTCTCACACATTCACACACAGACACACACACGGTTGGGACATTTAAGTTTCACGTGGAATCAAAACCAGAACCCGGCCACCAGCAGCACGCTGCCTAGGTGACGTCTGCCCTCAGCTGTCAGATGTGTGCTTGCTCCCTTCCTGGGGACAGGAAGCGCAGAGCTGGGGGGACGAGGACTCTGCTCATCCATCATTTCCCTTCCCATCCCGTCCCTCGGGAGGCCAGCTTCGTCTCACTGCATCTTAGCACTCCCCGCAGAGAAAGAACTGAGAAATCTTTTAAAATGAAAATCATTGTGTGTGACTCTCGCAGGGATGAGCTGAAAAGTCCAGCGAAGAGGAAGTTGAGCCTAATGGCCAGCATCAGGTTCGCACTTGGCCGTGTTACACAAAGCCACCCGTGGTGTTTCACACTTGAGGCAGCTCCTAGATAGGACGCCCTCTGCCACAGACAGCCCGAACGTCCTGGGTGGGGACAGGGACAGGAGCGTGGGAGGTGGGTCTTCACTGGTGGTGGCGGAACCTTGGTTGGCACCCATTCCTTGTGATTCCCATACTTTCTGCCCACCTGGCATTAACAAGGACCCTCCTCAGAGCCTCCAGGCCCTTGACCTACACCAGCCCCAGTGAAGGAGGCCACCTGGCTGTCCTCGCTTGCTGCCCTTACACTGGAGGCAAGAGGGACGAGTCCTGAGCTCAGCGGGAATCCGGGGATGAGGATGAAGACAGGCTTAGACACGTACAGTGCACCTCGCTTTCGATCCCCAAGGAGAGCGAGGGCCACAAACAGAATGTTTAAAACGATGTCGCATCATCACCTCAGGGATGTTACCCTTCACCAGGCTGAAGTTCAGAAACCTAAGCTGTCCTTGTCACATAAGAGAGCAACCTGCGTCTAAATATCCCCAGGGAACAGGGCTGCTCAACAGCCTGGGAGTCGTCAACACTCGCAGTCAGAGCTCTGCACCGTCTGTGCAGAGCCCCCGCTGCCATGTGCCACACCTTGTCCTTGTCACACTCAGGGACAGCAGCCTGGCCAGTGAAAGCCCTGCCCACCGACGGACACAGGTCCGGAGAGGAGGGTAGCTCAGTGCAGCCTCATCCTCAAGCTCGGGGCACGAGCAGAGCCACCGTCTCCACAGGCTGTCAAGCTCCACTGTCTGGCTTCTGGGCTGGTGTTGTGTCGGCATCTGGAAGGTGAGCAATGGGACCCCCGACTGTTCTGTTTGGGATCCAGGAAGCTCAGAGAATCAAAGGGTGCGGACTTATCTGAGTCTCGCCTTCAGGGATGCGTTCCCATCTCCTCGCCTGTCCCCAGAGGGTGGCGAGCAGTCCGAGCTTAGCCTCTGCCAGGTCCTGTTGCGAAGGAGCCTCTTATGACTCTTAAACATTATTCTATCCTCCAAAACATCTCCCTGTAGAGACTTTGCTGGCTTCCTGACCTGTCACTCCAGGTGTGACCTCATTCCGTGCCCCGAGTCCCACCGTAAACTCCTCTCCGCCTAATGCGCAACTCATTTCAAAGCAGAAAGGAACGGATCGGGCCAGGGCTATGTTTCCGTGCACAGGCCCAGTTCGGAATGTCCAGCAGATCTCGAATTGCCTTCCGAGACGAAGACCGGGTCTGACTCTACCTAACCGCTGGGAGCCTCCAGGAGGGCTCGGCTGCTGGCCTCGCGGGTGGAATCTGAGTTAGCAGACTGCAGGCGAGTTAGTATGCTTCAGAACGTGACACAGGTGCTGGCGCCCCTCGGTGGGTGTCGTCACCGTTCCGGCCGCACCGCTGCATGGGACCTTCATGATCACTGCTCTTAGACGCACGTTGGACCAAGTCCCTGCCTCTGCCGTTCGCTGCCATCCCACCCGATCTGAGCCCTTCAGGGTCTCACTTCCTGTCACGTGCAACATGCTCCCACTCGGAAACGATTAAGTTACTTTCCTAAATGTTACAGTAAGCCTCGCGTGTCTCTGCCAGAAATTTCCC